CCGCAATTCTATAATCGCGCGATTAATCGCTGGAGTCATGAAGTCCAGACTGGTCGCGAAGTATGAACCCGGCTGACCAAAGCTGGACGCTATTCTTCTGGGACTTCCAACATTTGCTCATCGCGGAATTGTTCCTGAAGAAGAACGCTATCTCATTTGTAGTTGTGGGATCGTGAGCCAGGAGCAGCATATCCGCTAGCCATTCTCAATCGGCTCTTGCAATTATATTATAACCAGTCGGATCGCCCGGCTAACGCCGAGCTCTCCTCCTTCTTGGAAGCCCGGCTTCGCCGGGCTCATGCAACTGCTTTAGAGTCGTGACTAACCGCTGTCTTCTAATCAAATGAATGTAGAAACGCGCCATATGATCGCAGGGCACTTTCATAATGAAAAGTTCAAAATCTGGTCATGGATAATCGATTACTCTCCTCCCCATCTTATGACAGCCAAGGATGATTCGGTCTCCGCAGTCGCTGCGTGCTCCTGTTCAGGCGAGCGTCGGTCGCGCCAATATTACCCCTTCACCTCACCTATCCCAAGACTAACCTCAGCTATTCCCCGCTCAGCCACCCTAAAGGTCACGCTCAGCTGCTACGCGAATAGCCCGTGCAACGGTTCTGAGTGCACTAAATGGTTGTGTTATGTTGTGGAGGGTGTTATGACTATCAAAACGCTACCACAATTTGATAATGCAACATTAATCGGTTCAGTTCCGATTGCGGTCGATCCATTTTCTTCTCATCTTATCGCAACCGTAGACGCCTTACCGCCGCAGGCGCTACGTGCTTTTAATCGCGAAATCGCCGTTCTCTATCCCCCTCACCACATCGTATCCTACTGAACCTATTATGAACCGGCGGCCCAACTCCCCGCACGTGTAGCAGCCGCCCACGTCGAGCGAGTGTGCTGGTGCAACATAGGGACACTACGCCGCCACTGTTCTTACCACCGCCTTGCTCGTGCTCACGTCCAGCTCCCAAGCGAGCAGCTCCTGCAATAGCACAGACTCTATCACAGTGGTTGGCTTAGATAGGGAGCGATTCACAATCCAAACAGCTTCCTAGTTCGTTGCTGTAACATGGATTGATGCGGTCTCGCAGTTTGCTAGCGGATCTTTCCTTCTGTCTTGCCGCCTGCTCCTATCCAAGCGTAGCTACGCATTCCCTTACTGTACCCAGTTTGCCCGATTCAATCCATATGCCTATTTCCCTGCATGAGCTCAGATCCGACTTTTTTTTTTTCTCTTGGACGTACGCGTCAAGGGAGTGTGGATGGAGAAGGAGTGTCACTCGAACTAACTCCCACCCGGTTCCTCACCTAACGCCCAATTCCCCGGGTAACTCGCCACTCCACCCCCCCCCCCCCACCTTGCCCCTACGCGCTTACGTCCAACTGCCACGCGAGCAACCCGTGCAATGGCTCGGAGTGTAGTGGTTTTCTTATATAGTGGAGAGTGTTATCACAACCAAAACAACTTCTTAGTTCGTTACGGTAACATATATTGGCTTGCAGTTTTGTTAGCGTTGTTTCCTCATCCATTGGTGTGCGTTTCTACTGAAACGCGAGCTACGACCCCTCACTGTACCCCCCCCCCCCTCCCCGCGACCCCTTCCCTCTGCCTCCCTCCAATACATGTGCTCAGCTCCGGCTGAGCACATGCAGGAGAAGGAGGCAGGGCGACCTGGCCCCTCCACCCTGCCCCCGCACGAGCTCACGTCCAGCTGCCACCCGAGCAGCTCGTGCAATGGCTCGGCGGAGCGTACCGATGGTTGTCTTATATATGCTGATATCACAATCAAAACACTGGATTGATACATCTGCACCCATCGAATCCGGTCGTTTTCTCCTTTCACTAACCTGTTTAATCCTGTGAAGCACTTTGCGGACGGACAGACATACAAACCGACATACATACCTACATACCGACAAACCGACACAAAAAGTTTCTGCTTTATAGAATGTAAGGATTGGCCTGCGTTTTTGTAACAATAGGTTTTAAACAGTACTGTATATAAAATGATTGAAATGTCTACCTGTATCTTCAGCTTTACTCTACGGTTCGCTTTCAACTGCAATAGTGTCATTATTGTCGCTTTCTGGAGCATGTATGATCCCTTTGCTCACTGGAAAAACTAGGCACAGGTAAGAATGTCATGAAGTTACCTGTAATATGATAGATACGCTACTAAGCCATCTGCTTATGGGATGGACCGTCACCCCGTCTCTTCGCGTAGCAGGATGTCCTTTCGCATTTATTGGATCCTCGTCCCACTCTTTTCTCTAAGAGTTCTCCGGCAGGCCTCGGCGCAAGTCATTGTAATGCATGATTTGCATTTAGGAATGTTTGAATCCTAGCTAACAGGAAGGTTGGATAGCTGTGGCGCATAATCCAAAAAGGCGTCTGATGCAACAACCAAAACATGTCGCCTACTCTCCAGTCCCCCGCCTCTGAAGTAAACGCGATTCGTCAGATGGGAAGCTACACCAAATCTCACCATGCTAGAAACGATTCAGATGGATGCACTTCTTTGTGGCAATGGCAATTGCGACTCTCAGCTCTGATGCCATCCTTCATATAATTCCTCAGGTACATAGTTGAAGGTATGCAGTGCTCGATACGCGCTCAAGTCACTTCTATTCCAGCTTTGTGGTGGACCAGCAGCATGATTCAATCCAATCGACACCACTACAGATACTACTGACACGGGCGTCAACACTCCACAGGTACCCTTCACATGAAAAAAAATTAGGAAATCGACCAAGAGGGGTTTCAATTCTTCAACTTGTGTAGAACTCGAGACTATTTTTGGACAAAAAAAAATCGTAAAATTGAAAATCGTTGCATAAGATTTAACCATGACAATAGTCGGGCAGACGAAGAGGATGGGCTTGATCCACAATCGGCTCTAATTGCTGGTGGTTTTCTTCCTGGATCGACTACCAGCCGATCGCCATTGGTAGGGCCGGCCCATCCCGCCCCCGTACACCTCCACCCACGGATCGTGGTATTAGAAACCGCGCATACTTTCGTGCTTTCGATGGCCCTTGCATTCGTCGCCGCGCTCGCGAGCACTATGTGGGAACGCCTCTTTTTGCCATCAGAAATGAACTCTATCTGTTTCGCCGATTCTCCAGTGTCGCAAGACACGAGACGCGGACAAGGAATTCAAACTTCGTAAAGACGAATGGCATGAGTCACGATGTCGTACATCAATGCCTATTTGGAAGCCTAATTCGTTTCTTTTCTATGATCTGGTTTTGTTCAGCTTTGAAATGTAATTCAGGGACACATCTGACGACGCATGACATGACCACGATCATGACCATGACCACGACCATGACCACGATCATGATCACGGCCATACCCATAGAAAAACGCCATGCACACGTAAGTTTCTTGAGTCATGCAGTCCTTGCATTGGGAGGAAAATGTCTGCGGATCTGGTTTTAGGGGGGCAGTGCTAGACAGCTGCCAATTCAGGCAGAGACCTAGGCAAGGTGTTCTTGACAGGGAGTGAAATGCACAATGAGAAGTCGTTGCATCTTTAACTTGGCTCATTTCGGCGACGAGAGGCGGGGTGGGGCATTTTCCACTCCCGCTGCTCCACTGGTTTCGGTTTTTATGTCTCACCCTGGTGAAACCTGTGAATCCTTGTAAAGCTGCAGCAAGCTTGTAGAGCCACCATGGTAGAACATGCTAGCTCTTGAGCTCATGAAGTGGCTCTCTTGTGACTCGACAAGTCGCTGAGAAGGAAGGCGAGTATACAAAATGCCCTCCGCCGTCGCGAACTGCCCCTTTCCCGCTCTCTGTCTGAACCAAGTAGCTATCTTAACCACCGTCCTCCACAAGCAACTCGTTGACACTTCTCTTTCATCGCCGAGATATAAACTGTAGTAAGGGAGTATAATATCTATGGTAATTCTCATTTCAGGAACATCATGAAGAAGAACAAGGCTCTCGTTGGTTAAACTAATGGGAAGAGCAGACGTATAACTTCTACGGATTGGTCACGGCAGTGATGGGTCACCATCTATATAATCTATCTCATCGAGTTCATCGTTTACTATCGGAAGAAACAAAAGGTCAGTCCGATAGTCTGTTTGGATCGTTCGCGTTGCCCTTGTTCTTCCAATGAGTTGAACTAGCTATAGAGTTGCGGCTTACTCCCAGTACCTCTGCACGTTACCAAACGAGATTGGGGATTCCCTCTGGGCGTTCGGGATGTTCTTACAGGCACTCAGACTAGCGATGACGTCCCCGTTCACGCGCTTGCAGTTCAGCAGCGCATCCCAGTCCATAACGCGAAACACAGTTGCAACGAGATCGATCGTGGCGGGCCGCTTGTGCGTTGAGAGACTAATGGGATAGTGGGGAGGGCAGGTGCCGCCTTCAAAAGTCCCTGGTCCTCTCCCTTTCCTTATATACTCCCAGGGCTTGCGTCAGCGCAGATTGCAATACTGGGTAGCGTGACAGTCAGCGCGTACATCCCCATAAACAGGGTAGCAGCATGCGGAAATGTGGCGAAATGTCGGTGTGAGTACGACCCCCCCCCTCACGGCTTCTTCGCCGACGACGACCATGAGTATGGGTGTGTACAATAACTACGCAACGTATATCCTCACGCCGACAGAAATGCATATAGTGCGGCATATTAACAACAAAAATTAATACACGCCGCACTCCCCTCCTTTTCCACAAGAAAAAAATCAACTATCAAAATAAATTTGTCTTACAAATACGACCCCCCCCCTCCCCAGAGCAAAAGTACGACCCCCCCATGGGTTTGACACAACGATGCTGTACCCTGTTCCCATACCGCACTCACTATGCAGAAAACGGCCGGTGCGCGGATTGATTCCTGCGTAGCGTGGTCGACTGCGCGTTACAGTGTCACAGATACGTCACCTGTTAAGAGTTTACGAAGAGTAGCTGTGTCATTTCTGCGTGCTTGTCATTTCTGCATGTTTCTATTACGGAACAGTGTAACGCGGGCAGATGAAGAACAGCTGCCATGTATAGAGGAAGGTGCCGCGAAAAACACAAAGTCTACAAATGATTGAAATGTCTACCTGTATCTTCAGCTTTACTCTACGGTTCGCTTTCAACAGCAATAGTGTCATTATTGTCGCTTTCTGGAGCATGTATGATCCCTTTGCTCACTGGAAAAACTAGGCACAGGTAAGAAAGTCATGTCAGTTACTTGTAATATGATAGATACCACTAAGCATCTTTTTTGGGAGGGACCATCACCCGTCTCAGAATGTCTCCTTTCGCATCTATTGCATCCCTCGTCTCATCTCTTTTCTCCAGAGTTCTCCGCAACCTCCGCAAGTCATTGCATGGCATGAATCGCATTTAGGATGTTTCTTCTAGCTAAATGGAAGGTTGGATACGTGGCGCATAACAAAAAGGGTCTGATCAACACCGAAAACTTCCCCTATCTCCCATCCTCCCTCTGAGTAAAGCGATTGTCAGAGGAAGCTGCACCAAATCTCACCATGCTAGAAACGATTCAGATGGATGCACTTCTTTGTGGCAATGGCAATTGCGACTCTCAGCTCTGATGCCATCCTTCATATAATTCCTCAGGTACATAGTTGAAGGTATGCAGTGCTCGATACGCGCTCAAGTCACTTCTATTCCAGCTTTGTGGTGGACACAGTCATGATCATACAATCGACAACCACTACAATACTACTGACACGGGCGTCAACACTCCACAGGTACCCTTCACATAAAAAAAATTAAGAAATCGACCAAGAGGGGTTTTAATTCTTCACTTGTGTAGAACTCAAGACTATTTTTGGAACAATGTAAAATCGTCGCAAAATTAATGTAAAAGGCGACGACTGCTTTTCTCCGTTCGGATTTCCATCTCAGATACACTTGGTACCATGACAATCAGTCGCAGACAAGAAGGATGGGCTGACCCACAAGCGGTCTCTCCATTGCTGGTGGTTTTCTTCCTGGATCGACTACCAGCCGATCGCCATTGGTAGGGCAAGGCGGTCGGAGGCCGGCTCATCCCGCCCCCGTACACCTCCACCCACGGATTGTGGTGTTAGAAACCGCGCATACTTTCGTGCCTTTCGATCGCCCTTGCATTCGTCGCCGCGCTCGCGAGCACTATGTGGGAACGCCTCTTTTTGCCATCAGAAATGAACTCTATCTGTTTCGCCGATTCTCCAGTGTCGCAAGACACAGACGTGGACTAAGGAGTTCAAACTTCGTAAAGACGAAATGGCATGAGTCACGATACCGTACTCATGCCATTTGGTACCTATCGTTCTTTCTATGATCTGTTTGTTCACTTTGAAATGTAATTTCAGGGGCACATCGACGACCATGGCCACGACCATGACCATGACCATCATGACCATGACCACGACCATGACCATGACCACGACCATGACCACGATCATGACCATGACCACGACCATGACCACGATCATGATCACGGCCATACCATAG